AATCCATCCTTGGGTCAGTATCATGAGTGAATTCCCGACGCGTACTTAAAAACATTGCTACTTTTCTAAACCATTGACAGGAACAGTCTCGAGAAGAAGATTCACCGTTCAGCGACCGGCGTTGACGTGAAACCATGGCCTTCTCTCCATGGCCACATCGACGTGACAACGTCGATCATCGGAAGGAGCGTGGAGATCGCAACGGTCTCCGTGCCGCCGCCGTGGGCAACGCCGCAACGCACGCGGCGCCCTCTACCATGAACTATACCCGCACGCTATCGCACAAATTTCCGTTTCCCCGAGGGAAGGCACGATCGAATAGCTTGCGACAAGAATCGGAGACGTTGAACTGAGGATTGGATTCACATGGGCTCACATGTTCAAATCAGAGCACCGCGGGTGAAGTACTGCTCGGCAGTTTGGATAGATGATCGGAACAGTTTCAGTCAACTTCAGGACGCGGCCCAAACAGGGAAATGGAGACTGAAAAGCATTGATTTCTGTCAGGAACGAAGCCAAAAGGTTTCAGGACTTGGCTATCTTTGGTCGTTCGCCAAGGTGGCGGTGATAAGTACCTCCCGCGACAGAAGAGGAACTCGGGTACACGGAGAACGGCCGAAATTTTGGGTATAGTTTTTAGAGTTTTACTTTTCTTTGATAGACTGGGCAGTTTTGTCACCCATGAACGGTGGCGGTTGCTGCAGCCGGTGCAACACCTCGCCGCTTCGCCAAAGTTCAACTCTTTTTGGGAAAGGGGTCAACTGCTTGCTTTCTGGTTGTCTGAACTCCGAGCGCTCCGCCCACGCCGCTCCAGCGCGACTATTTATAAGGACGCTGCTTTCCCTGCCATTCCGCCATCTCAACGAGCCTTCAGCGTCCACTGACAAGCGGAGACAGCAGTTCCTCCGACCTCATCCCATCCACCGCCCAAGAAAAACAAGAAAAATGGCCCCCGCCCCCACTAGCACCATCGCATCCCTGATCGCCACAGCCACCTCGACGCTCCCCGCCACACTCGCTGCCACCGCCACTTCGACTTCAACGGCCGTCGCCGGGCCCGGCAGGTCAAAGCAGTGGTATGAGAGCGATGTAAGTTGCAATCAAATCCCGCTTAGAGCTTCTGTTGCGCATGCAGAGAGGCTCACGCATTAATCCCCACCGCTGCCCGCAGGCCTTCTTTTACACCATGGTCGCACTCGGAATCATCGTGTTCATCTTCGGCTACCTTGTCGCCATCGCCCTCATCCGACGTGCCCCCGACGCGCCCGTTCACCAACCCGCCAAAAGCGGCAAGCTCAAGTGGTACCGCTGGCTGTGGGGCTTCAACAAGGAGGACTACCCCAGCACCGTCCCGCCGGAAAACAGGCAGTGATCGAATGAGATTGGAAGCGGAGAGTCCGAGTGCGTTTGCAGCTCCCTCCGTTTCAACTTTCAGACAACATTCACACAACACCATGCAAACAAGGACTGCGTGCGGCGTTGGCTCTTTCTAATACACACATACCATCATCTCTTTATCAAATTCACTTACTTCAAAATAAAACATGCCTCATGAAAGCACTATGACTTTAAACCTGTGATTTTCTGGCCTACGACACTGCCACCAACGCCTAGTGGACCGAGCAGATACGGAACGGGTGCCAGTCGGAGTTTTTGAGGAGGGAGGCGCGAAAACTGTGAAAGAAAAAAAGGGCTCAGGGCTTGGTCAAAGCCATTTTGGGTTTGGACACAAGGCTCAAGGTTAAGGACCTGGTGTGACGTCAATAGGTGCCGACTGGGCATCATGGCTGTGCGCACCGCCACAAGGCCAAGTATTTCACGGCTCACACGGTCTCGCACCGGTGAAGGCAGTGTCGACTTGCGATTTCTGCAGGTCGGATGGGCGGCATTCAAAACAGCTCGCCGTGCGGTCCTGATAACGCACGGCTTTAGCATCGCACCTGCAGCTGCATAAAAGGAGGCTTACGCGATCTGGTAGCCTCAACGGCAACGGCAATCACCAGAGCAACAGCACATACCGGCATCCCTTAGTCGACCTCATCAAACTTTCAAGCCACCGTAAACGAAAAAATGGCACCAACAGCGTCGCCGTCACCAACGCCAATCATCACCAGCACCATCAACACCGCCACCTCAACGCTTCCCTCCACCATCAGCGCACGGCCTACCGGTACGTTCAAGCCTCTCTTCGGCAGCGCATGGTACGAGAGTCCGGTAAGGACCGTTTTGAAGAAATTCTTCACTGGAAAGGAAGCTGAAGCTAAACGGAACCCCTCTCTCCCGTTGCCCGGCTAGCCATTCCTGATAACCGGGGCCGTTGTGGTTCTCCTCCTTTGCTTGCTCGGGGCCCTTGTCTACCTCGCCCTCATCCGGGGGGCACCCGAAGCCCCGGTCCATCAGCCCCACCGCAGCGGCAAGCTCAAGTGGTATCGGTGGATGTGGGGCTTCAACAAGGAAGATTACCCTGACCACGTACCGCGAGAAATTCGGCAGTGATCACATGAGCAGGCAGTGCTGGCGGATAATACCATTGACCTCTTGATTCAGCCTAGCGCCAACAGCCACATCATCAGCATGCGAGAAATCACTACCACCAATGCACCCCTTGCGTTTTGGCTTCCGCCATTCGATTTGCTGGAAGCCACAGCGAGTGTCGGAGCGGGTGGTGGCGATCTGGCAGCGAAAGGTGTTCCCTCATTATCCCCCTGCAGCTGTTAAAAGTCGTCAAACACATCAAACGCAACTGAATAAACGTCATATCGAGATTCCCCACATCTTGCCGCAAGACACGAGCGTGCGCGCGTGACTGAAGTCTTTGCTGCCGGACCGAATCATCACTCTAGTGCAGATTTGTCTCCTTTTGATACGACAGCTTGGCGACGAGTTCGGCTTCCACCACGTACATCCCCCGCGTTGCGCCACCGGCACCCCGCAGGAACAGCCGAGGAGGAGTCACGTTTTCTCCTCGTATGGTGAGGGTTGAAGATGAACCCCGCGTTGTCGGAGTTTGCGAACGAGCATGGCGGCTGCATCTCTATGGGCGCCACGCGATGCACGCGACAAATAGACAAATAGCGCCTTCTCTGTCCCCCCTTATAAAAGAGCGAGGGGTTTACCTGCTTTCTCTACTTTCTGTCGCAACTCCACTACCCTTCCTATCCTCCTCTTGCTTTCATCTCGCCTTGCAATTGCTTTCGATAACACAAGTCATGCTCTTGCGATTTGTCGCAATTTTCTGTAGCTTCGCGGCTGTCGGCAACGCCCTCTTCATCAGGCCCAAAGGCGGCAACTCGACGGACGAGTACGGTCGCCATCGTGATCACGGTCGTGGACGAGAGGACGGTCGCGGAGAGGGAAATCTGTGTAAGTCCAATTCGTTTCGATTCTTCCGCCTTGCTTTTCCTCATTCCTCTACCTCATCCAGGGGACCGCCTTCGCGAGGAGCACCGATTCTCGCGCTTTGTCGAGCTGATCGAGAAAGAAAAGGGCTTGCGCGACGAGTTTGAGCGCAGCGACCGCCTCACCGTCTTTGCCCCAACCAACCACGCCATCGAAAAGTTCGAGGAAGAGTTTCGCGACCACGACCCCCGCGACGGCCGCACCCGTCGCCACCGCCGCCACGACGACCTGGACATGGAGGAGCTCATTCTCTACCACCTCGTCCCAGACCACCAACTCGGCCACCGCGACCTTCAAGACGGCGTGCTCCTCAAGACCAGCCTCGAAACCAGGGGCCTCGACGGTGCCCACCAGCGCATCCGCGTCAGCCGCGCGTTTGGCGAGGTCTACCTCAACATGTACGCGCGGGTGCACCACCAGGGAGAGTATGAGGCCGACAACGGCGTGATCTGGGCGCTTGAAAATGTGCTGGTGCCGCCGGGGAACGCGATGGATGTGCTATACCATGTGCCGTTTGCATTTTCGACTTCGGTGTCGGCGCTGTGCAGGCTGGATGCGACAGAGAAGATCGAGAAGATGAAGGGAGCGACGTTGTTTATGCCCGATAACGACGCGTGGGAGAGCCTCGGGCTGCGCAACCTTTACTACTTGTTTGGTGACGAGGGTCACGAGGATTTGAAGAAGATCATGAAGTATCATGTGAGTTTTCCTTTAGGGGCGGCAACAGCTGACTTCTGTCTTTATTCAACCCGTTTTTAGGGCGCCAAGGAGCTCGTGTACACCACCAAGATGATGAAAGAGGAGACCCTAGAGCTCGACTCTACGCTCAAGGGTCAGAAACTCACCATCGAGGCACGCTGCCGCCACGGTCACGGTGGCCATCGCCGCGAGTACACCGAGTGCTCCCGCCGCGGCCGCAACGGACGCCGTCACGGCAGGGACAAAGACGACGACGAAGACGGCGAAGGCGGCTTCGAGAGCCCGCGCGACTACCTGTTCGTCATCAATGAGGGCGAGGCACGCATCCGCTTCACAGATGCTCTCGGCGAGAACGCGGTCATCCACGTCATTTCCGAGGTGCTCATTCCGGAGGACGTGGTGCTTCCCCACGACCGCTCGGACGCCATGGTGGCGAAGATGGAAATCTAGGCGTTTTTCGTTCTTGGGTTGTTGCTGTGGTCCCAGTTTGATCTTGCGGTCTTCTTCTGCCGGCGTCCCGTGCGCTGTTTGCTGTAGGCTCGTTCGATCCAGCCCTTGACGGGTGTCATGGTTGGTTGTGTAGTTTATCACCAGTGAATAAAGAAAGCTTGAGAATGTTTACCAGCATAGACTCTTCCAACCTTGACGGCAAGGGCGGCGGCTCCACCAGATCGGCTACAACACGAGAGCTTTCGCGGGAGTCGTGATAGTGGATTTTAAGGTCAAAAGCGGTTGTATTCGAATCTGCTACCTAAATTAGAGCTTGTTCCAGACAGCCGTACGCCGGCGACTGCAACTTCAACAAGCCCTGCCAAATGACATCCCAAAATGATAGAAAACTAGAGCAAATACATACAAGATAGTGTACAATCACTTTTTTGTGAACATCTGAAAATCGAAAGGCCCGTGTAGCTCAGTGGTAGAGCGTTCCCCTCCTACTTTTCGGATAACGGTTCCCGGATAACGGGTAACGGATATCGAAGGTGTGAGGGAAAGGTCTAGGGTTCGATCCCCTGCCCGGGTGTTTACAAAGGTCAATAAATTTTTTTTCGGAATTTTTAATTCTCAGCTGTCTATCTGGGTTGTCTTTTTTTCCGAATTTTTAATTCGGGTATTCTTACTCTTTGTTCGGGTATCTCTACTCTTTTGCTCGGGTATTCCCACTCTTTTGTTCTCCATCGGCGCCAACAGCGACTACAATTCAGTTGGCAGAGGCGCATGTGAGGATGAGGTGCGAGATACCGTCCAAAACCGCTATGACAACCAACCCTTTTGCTATCAACAGGTCCAAGACGTTGAAGAAGCCAACCGGCTCATCGGCGATCGGCGGCATCTCGCATCGCGATCGGCGGCATCGCCAGGAGAGGCGGGTGGCGCTTGTCGTGGTGTTTGAAGCGACGCGCGCGCGGGTAAAGCATGAAGTTTGCGGAAGATTGCAGGCTGTAGAAGGAGAAGCTGATGAGGTGAGGAGTTGGGTACCTTCTCTTTGTTCGTTTGGTGGATGACCTTCATTCCTTCGTTTATCTCGTCGCATATTCCTGCTTCTCATGCCTTGAATCCGATGACTGCGTTCGCCGTTCAGGAATCCTGTGAACACGAAAGAATGCATCGATTATGGGAGGTACTATCGCACGTTTATATCATCTTTTACACACCGTCCAGCAGACCGAAAGCGCAGTCCACAAGGCTAAGGCGATGATAGCACAAAAAGAATGTAGATAGGTAGACGTTATCATAAACAAAGCCGTTGGGTGGGGGATCAACAATCAAAACAAAGTCGGTTCAATCGCGTCAAAGTAAGTACAGTACACATATATGAGGCACGGTATGCACAAAGCATCCAACAGCAGACCGTAAGCGGAAAAACCACCTGACCCTTCAAGCGGTCGGGCAGAGGATGAGGCGATAGTTTGGCTTCCTGCACCTAAAGGTCGAGGTCGGGTCGTCGTAGGGCCACGAGTAAGCGTCCGGGCAGCGGGCCTTCATGAAGCGTTGCTGGGGCTGGCCATTGTCTTGGTTGTTGATGCACGACACCACGCGGCCTTGTGCGTTGCGGACCTGGAAGTTGGCGGGACAAGAGCTTTTTTGGACGGCGAGGTTAAAAGAGGAATGAAAAGCAACCGCGAAAACTCACTTGATGTCAAACGCGCACGAGATCACGTCACACCTGGCGTAATGATCGTTGGGGTTCAGGGCCGCCCCACCGATAGCCACGATGGTCATGCCGACGTTGTAGGCGTCCACGGCCGAGATGTCGTAAAAATCGCCGTCGGCCACAAACGTCCACTCGGCCAGGAGTGCGTTGCCCTGGCCCGTGCGGCCGTTGCAGCCTTCGCCGGTGGACCCGCAGTCGCCCGTCTCGCAGTGGAATTGGCCGTTTTCGGTACGGCAGCCGGTACGGGCCCAGATGCGACCCGCGGACCAAGTTTGAGGAAGGCTGAGAACCTGCGCGATGGGTGACGTGGACACAAGAACAAGGTCAGGAAGGAGATTGCTTTTTTGTCAAACAACGCGCCAGTGACGTGGCGCCTTACCTTGGTGGTTCCTGGCTCTTGTTTCCATCCGCCGTTGAACGGGATGCCATCCGGCTTCGGGTCGCCGTAGACTGCCGGCCACACGGTCTCCCCGCAATTGTTCACCACCTCGATGATTCTTCTGTCGCCTCCGGGGGTCGGGGTCGGGGTAGGTGGCGGCGGGGGAGGTGTGGGAGGGGGCAGGGGCGGTGGCTGCGACGAGCAAGCCGCGGAACCAGCTTGCTGCAGGGCGCCTCCAACACAGCAATACTTTTCCGGGGCGTAGCAGGCGAAACCGCCGTTCGGGAACACGCAGGCCTTGGAGGCGGTCACCGGACAGAGGTGCTGATTTTCGAGGCAAACATAGGCTGCGGCATCATATCCGGCTGACCCGCACGTGGCGCGACGGAGGAGCCCGGGAACGGGGGCTGGGGCGGGGCGTACGGGGTTGGCGGCGGTGCCGATGGTGAGCAATGCCGTGGCGGCTATGACGGTGATGACGTGCATCTGGTCTTGGGGGGGGGGGGGGGGGGTCGGTAATTCACATGCAATCAGAGGGGAGGGATGGTGGGAATCCCTTGATGGGGTTGAAGGGAGTATTTTTAA